GCGATCCGCGCAGGCGGCCCCAGCCCGAGGATCCCGGGAGATGCGGACAGGTCGGTTCCGCGGGAATCTGGACGGACCGGTCCAGGAGGGTCCGGGGCGCTGGATGGCTGGGTGCCGAGGACTCCGCGAGGCGGGAGAACGCAGGTAGTCCTGGTTCGCGGTGCACAGTAATCCAGCTGTCCGCCGCGGGCCCGACCGAGATCTGGGGCTCCGGGTGAGGACTCCGGGGGAGCGTTCCGTCGGGGTCCGAGCAGGGATCTTGCCGCGCCGCTCTCGTACTCACTTCTGCCGTCCCCAGCGCTGGCGCTGCCTCTCTGGGAGAGAGGGGCGGGACCACCCGCCCGCCTGTTAACGCTGAGGCCCCGCCCCCAGAGGCCGGCCGCCCACTCACAGACCGCCCGGCAGGCTGGTTCGGCTTCCAGAGCGCTCAGCTGGAGTTCGGTTGGCTGCGCTTCCGTCAGGTCCACCCCCGGGGGGCATGGGCGGGGCCAAGGAAAAGATGAATTAGATTGGGCGGGGCGATGTTGTCCGTCAGAGGGAGAGCCCAGACCCCTGCCGCCCATTGGCTATTAGTAACCAATTTGAGTCGGGAGGGGTGCTCACCATCTAGCACGAGTCAAAGGCGCCCCCCTGTGGCCTGCATGGACTCTGGGATGCCCCCTTGTGGCTGCCTTTTCTCGCAGGCACATCCAGACCCCAGACTCAGTCTAGGCATAGTAGGGGCGCGTCCATCGCGTAGATCTTGTGACCAGGGCCTTCTTGATCTTTCATTCATTCATTTATTCATTCATCCGTGCTTGTAATCGTTCATCCAATAAATTCTTTTGCGTACCCACCATATGTCAAAGATTCCAGTCTCTGCTGGCAGTGTAAGACAGAGGGTCTGTGTTTTATAGGAGCCAGTTGAGCGTCCGAGGCAGGTATTGAGTCTTTACAGCGGAATATAACAAACATTACTATGGAGGAAGAACAGACTTTCTCAGAGGACAGATGGGGCACCGCTGATGTCCAGCCCCTGAGGAAATGACATTTAAGTGAAAATATGAAAAATGAGGAGTGAAGTGAAGGATGTGTGTGGGGAAGAGGGTGGTCCCGGGCACTTTGTGTGTAGATCTAGAGGCGAGAGAAACTGATTCACTGGCGGTCTCTGGCAGAAGTTCAGAATAGCTTGGATGAAGCTGAACTGAGAGGGGCTGAAAGGGCACTGAGAAGTAGGTACAGGGGACAGAGGATGCTTTTCAGGACTCGGGTAAAGCCTTCCTGAGAACTAGGGCAGGAAGCAGGGGCATTACCTGTGGCGCTAGCGTGACTGTTCTGGGGTCAGAGGGGGAGCTGGGGACTTGGACTAGGGACATGTATTTAGGACACAGAGTCTGCTGGACATTGTGGCTAGGCAGTGGAGAAAGGTGGCTTGTGGCAGCCAGCGGAGACATCAAAGAGAACACCACGTTTCTAGTTTGCACAAATGGACTTCCGCCCCATTCGCTCTACAAACATTTACAAAGTGCAATAAACTCTGAAACAATAGCTCGGGCTTTTTCAGAGGCAGGTGATAATAGCCCCGTTTCACAGATAAAACTGACAACTAGAAAGGCTTGGTGGTGGCTTTCCCCAAGTCACAGCTTAAAAGAAGTCACAGCTTAAAAGAACCAGGGGTGGGATTTGAACTCCTGTATTGCTTTTAG